AGCAGAGCCCTGGACCAGCCCTGCTACCTGATGACAGTGCTGTGGGGATGCAGGGCCAGGGGCACGTCAGAACGGCCCTGAGCCCAGGCCAGGCCTGCAGCGGGGGCGTGCGGCCACTCAGAGGCCAGATCCAGGCTGAGGGTGCAGCCGGGGCGGGCAGTGAGCGGCCTCCCGAGACGGCCCTGACTGGGGCTGCTGACGCATTGGCTCCGATGACTCACGTGCGGGTGACCGTGACTCGAGTGGCCGTCTGGAGACTCGGACAGGCTTAGGGCCGCCGCCGCCTTCTTGGGGGCCCGTGGCCCTGCCGCGCCAGCCGCCCCCTGTCTGGGGCTGGCCTGAGTAATGGGTCCTTCCCCTCCTCCCGACGGCCGGCTGGAGAGGACCTTAGTCATCAGCCCCAGCGCCACCTCCTGCCCATCTCCGCCTGGCCGCGCCTCGCTTCTCTTTCCAGGCACGGGGGACTCTGGCCCTGCTGGTCTCCTCCCTCCCTGGGCTCCCCAGGAAGGGCTGCAGGGGGTGTGTTTGGCTGCCAGGGGCAGCGGCACAGCCTGGTGTGTAGGGGGCTGCTGGAGGGGGCCTCAGACAAGAGGAAGAAACCAGCCACACGGGGCGCAGGGGACACTGCTGGGGGCGCAAGGAGGAGGCCTGGAGAGGGCCAGGCTGCTCCCTGCCCTCTTCGTTGCAGCTCGGGCCCAACCCCGTAACCAGCAGCCGATGGGCCTGACCCCGGCTTCTGGGCCGGGGGTGTCCTAACTCCCAGATAGGAGAGTCTGAATTCTCAGAGTGTACGATTGTCACATGCCAATGGCAGCACAGTCGCAGCAAGCCTTTCTGCATGAGGCTGCTTGTCCAAGGACTCTGCATTTGCTCACCTTGTGCTCTTACAGCCCCAGGTGCCGGGACTGTCATGTGCCCCCGCTTTGCAGCTGAGGCCTGGGTGGTGGAGGGACTGCCGAGTTCCCAGCTAATCAGAGCCGCTTGGCCCAGGCCTCTGGCTGCGGAGACCCCAGCCCAGCCCCGGTGCCTCCTCTGAGAAGCCCTGCTGGCCACCTCCTGCCTTCCAGGTCCCGGGCAGCCTCTCCACCCACTGGGAAACCCTGAGATCCTGCCTGGGAGCTCTGCTGGTCACCTCCCTGTTTTCCATTCTTTAGTAATGATAACAGCAGGGGAGGCGGTGAAACTTAACCACCTCATCCTCTCTCCTCCCCAGAGGTGCACTCTGCCCCGCTTCTCAGCCCTCCAGATGTGCTCTTTGTACACAGAGGCAGATGCCTGTGTATGACACTTTGTGCCCACTGTGTGCGCTCTGCACTTCCTTCCTCCTCCAGCTGTCGTCCCCAGGATGTGTCGGGATCAACTTCCTCACTCAACTGTAGGGCAGCCCTTTGTCAGAAGGTGCTGTAATTCTGTGTACCCCACGAAGGGTGTTTAGCTTATTTCTCATCTCTGGCCCCTAGAGACAGTATTTGGAAAAGTTTCAGAAGTAGAGTTGCTAGGTCAAGGATATGAGCCTTTAGAATGTAGCTAGGTCTGTCCAACTGCCTTCCTGGGGGTCGTCCAGCTTCATGCTCCCACAGTGAGCACAGTTCCCTTACTGTGAGCAAGGCTGACTCTTAGGTCTTTTCCTGCTAGCTGTGCTTCTTTTCCCATGAACTATCAGCCCACGTTCTTTGTGCATCTTTCTTTGCTGGGTTTATATTCATTTCTTGATGCTCTTTATGTATGGAGGAACACAGTAAATATGAGTCCAAGGACTGAGCAAGCAGCCCCATGGTGAAGTTGCTCTTGGCGTGAAATCTTTCTTCTGGTAAAAACGTGCATGTGCACACCTGCCCCCCAGGGCTTAGAGGAAGCTCAGGAAGTCCTCCCACACCACCCCCCAAATCTCCTCAAACGTCTAAGGAAAAACCAGACCAGCTGAAAGCAAAATGCCAAAGGCTGGCAGGGCTGGTGAATGAATCCATGAGGCTCGGTGTCCACAGAGAGGCCAACGGCTCGCGCGGCACCCACTGTGTGCTGGTGCTCTGTGGGTGGTTCTGAGCTACAGGTTCCCGAGTGCAACGGCCTAGTCCTGGTCAATGGGCAGAGAGGGCATGCAGCCGGTGTGCAGGGGTAGTGTCCGGATGAAGACCTCTGCCAGGCCTCGCCACCTTCCCAGCCCAAAGGTAAGCTGGGCAGTAGGTGGTCTGTGGCCCCCCATTCTCCTGGAGGCGATGGGGGCTGGGGAGCCCCACGGCAACCCCGTAACATCCATAGCCCTTTTGACAGCCAAGAAAACTGAGACCCAGAGAATCAGAGAATGGCCCCGCCCTGTGCCCCGTGAGCGCCGCAGCACCTGCCTTGTCATCCAGCCCATCTTTGTGCCGTGGCTCTTTGGGGTCCCTTTCGAGGTCCTCGTGTGCTTCTGCAGAGACGCCAGCTCCCTGCGAGCCTGGACGTGCCTTTCGGGTGTCAGGTGCACGTTCGCAGGGCTTGTGGGCAGGGCGCTTGGGGGTCCTGGGACTCCACTGTCCGAGGTGTGCACAGGCGTCCCGTCTTTGCCTGATGACCCCTCCTCCTCCTCCTCTCCCCAGTCTCCATTTAGGCGTCCCCCCCACTCCCCTGCAGTCTCTCAGAGCACTTGGTGGTTACTTTACATTTCCTTCTGTCTCCATCGGTTTGGTGTCTGCCTTCCTGCTCCCCCGCCCTGCTGCCAGTGGCTCTGAGTGTCACAGGACAGGCCTGGCCCCATGGGTGAAGTGCGGGCTGAATGAATTAATGAATGATGAATGAATGAATGAGTGAGTGCGCATGGCTGAGGCAAGGACCCTGGGCTGGGGAGACCCAAGGGATGGCTCTTAGGCCGACTTGACCAGCGTATCTCTGTGCTGGTGCCCCCGGGAGGCCCTGAGGTGCAGCCCTGCCTGCAGGGGCCCAGCACGCAGTGGAGAGGGGTGGTGAGGGCCGGGGTGCGGTTGGGGTGGCCTTCCTGGTCACGTGGAGCTGCTGCTTGTAGCCTTTGGGTCCCCAGACACTCTGTTCAGGGCCCGGCCTTGGGATCGAATGATTCTCCAGAGCTGCGGTTCCAACCGCCAGGCCATGGACCAGTGCCAGTCGGTGGCCTGTTAGGGACCGGGCGGCACAGCAGGAGGTCAGTGGCGGGCGAGGGGGCGAAGCTGCATCTGTGTTTACAGCCGTCCCCGTCACTCACATCGCTGCATAAGCTCCACCTCCTCCACGATCAGCAGCGTCATTAGATTCTCACAGGAGCACGAACCCTACTGTAAACTGTGCGTGGAGGGACCTGGGCTGCGGCCCCTTGTGAGGATCTGATGCCTGAGGATCTGGGGTGGAGCTGAGGCGGTGATGCTGGCGCTGGGGAGCGGCTGCAAATGCAGATTATCATTAGCAGAGAGGTCTGACTGCACAATAAATGTCATGTGCTTGAATCATCCTGGAAACCATCCCTCCCGCTGGGTCCGTGGACAAATTGTCTTCCATGGAACCAGTCCCTGGTGCCAGAAAGGCTGGGGACCGCTGCTCTAGGGGATCCCCGTAATGAAGATGGTATGTGCACCCTCAGCCCCGTCATGCTGAATGCGGTCATGGAGCCCAGGCAGGTGGCCAAAGAGTGCCCGTGTGGGCAAGTGGCAGGAGCTGAGGCCGAGGCCGGATGGTGGAGGAAGTGGCCAGGGTAGCTCTGGACACGGGGGGCCCAGGAAGGACGGCAGGGAGGTGGGTTCGGCTTCACAGGGGCAGGTGCCCAGCCCTAGACGACCTTGGCATTGGGTTCTGAATCATGCGTCTTTCCTCCCTCGGGACTCGAAGGCCTTCCGTCGAGCACAGGCCCCCATACTGGGTCCCCACTCCAGATTCCCCCACACAGGGTCCTCCATGCCAGGTCTCCCCTTCTAGGACGCGGAGCACCTTGCAGGGCTGAGGTTGGGCGCTTGTGCTGCCCTGTGGCACCCCGCCTGGCCGTGGTCAGTGGCTGGCCCTGCAGCCCCTCTGCCCCTTGGTTGGTAACCTGTCCTTTCCTGTGGGTCTCTGGAAGAGTGGCCTGGAAGAGCTTGGGGACCTCTGGTGGCAGCGGCCACATTGAACGAGTGCCAACTGTGTGCCTGTGTCTGACAGCAGCTCTTTAATGCCCAGCGTGGTTTGGGGGCTGGCAGGCAGTGGGGCCTCGAAGCCATCCTGTCTGCTCCCACTTTCTTGGGAAGACCGGCGCCTACTTTCCTGGCGCTCACTCGTGGGCAGGCGTCGGTCCCAGGAATGGGAGGGCAAGTTCCATGGGGCCAGAGGTCACAGGGGTGGGCAAGAGTGCTTGGGAGGGTGGCCTCGGCCCTGATAGGGGTGGCGGGTCTTGGCAGGGGGTTCATGATCCCACAGGGGCCTGACCCTGGAGGTGGCAACAATGTCCCTTTCCTGTTGTGTTCTGAGGATAAAGGGATGGATTCAGGCCTCCGTTCAACAGAAGTTTTCCAAAACGAAACAGCGAAGGGGCCAGTGGGGCTGGAGGGGAGGGACGATGGGCCATTGGGGGTCATGGGGGCAGGACCGCAGAGGGCGCGTGTGCTCTGAGGGTGCTGGGGCTGCGGCCCGGTTTGCGCAGCACCCGAGAAGGCCCCTGTGTCCTTTGTTTTGTTTTCTTAGTGAAGTGAAATTCACAGGACGTAAAACCAACCATTTTAAAGTGCACAATTCAGTAGCATTCACAGTGTTGTGCCGCCGCCACCTCTGTCTAGTTCCAGAACATTCTCATCACCCCAAAAGGAGACCCTGTCCCCGTCAGCAGTCACTCCCCATCCCCCTGCCGCAGCTGCCCGTCTGCTCCTGCCTCTGTGGCTTTGCCTGGTCCGGACCCGTCACGCGGTCGCATCGCGCGCTGTGGTCGCGTCGATGTGGCCTTTCCTGTCTGGCCTCTTCTGCTAGCCTCGTGCTTCGAGGTTCTTCCACGTCGTCTCGTGTCTGGGAACCTCAAGGCCTCTGGCCGCGTGCCCCCTCTGCTCTCCCCGCAGCACGGCCGACAAGAACGGGGCCCTCAAGTGCACCTTCTCGGCGCCTGGCCACAGCACCAGCCTCCTGCAGGGCCTGGCCGCCCTCCGCGCCCAGGGCCAGCTGCTCGACGTTGTGCTCACCATCAACAGGGAGGCCTTCCACGCGCACAAGGTGGTCCTGGCCGCCTGCAGCGACTACTTCAGGTGAGCGCCGCCTGGAGGGGCGTCTGTCCGCGGGCTGTGCAGGGGTGGAGGGCGCCCGGGTCACCGCCAGCCAGGGACAGCTTTGAGGGAGAGCGGCCAGTGCTGGCCCCTCCTCTGATTGTGGCGAGAAGCCCGACGTCCAGTCAACCCGCGGGTCTCCTGGGTTTGCGTCGCACTCCTTCCGGGCAGTGTCGGGCCCCGGCACCGGCTGCGCTGCTCCTGCCTGGGGCGGCGGGGCTCGGCCGGGACCTTATTCTGCTGTTCGCCAGGTGCCGTTCTAGGCCGCCAGGTCCAGGAGGCAGGAAACGGGCACAAGTCTTTGCAGTCGGATGTTCACATGGGCACCTAAAGCAGACAGCAGAGGGGCGGAGGGACGCCAAGTCCACAGTGACCCCTGTGTCTTACAGACACCGTGTGCCGGGTTCCGCCTGCGTCCCAGATGAGGTCTCCTCCCTGTCGCCCTGGGCTGTGGGCACTTCCCCTGAGTGACAGGCGGGCCCTGGGTGGGCATGCAGGTGTGTCTGCTGTCCTTGTGCCGTGGCTGGGCCAGAAGAGGGGGCCCCACGGAGTAGGGAGGGGGACCATTCTTGTCACCTGCTGGGGGCTGGCTAGGGCTGGATGGCCTCCTTCGTTCCCTCGGTGACCAGTGGGTGAGCCTCCTTCCTGCCAGGCGGTGACCCTGCCAGAGACAACAGGCTGCCCCGGGGTGGTTCCCAGGCCTGCCCCAGCCCAGATGTGCGCCTCGGGCCACATGTTCCCCAAGGCTGGGGCGCCTGGCCTGGCATGTTCCCCGGCGCCCGCCCTGTGGGCTCAGCGAGGCCGTCGTGGGGAGCCGCAACAGCCAGGCCAACCGGGGCGCTGCTGCTATTTTTACTCTGGATTTGGGGATGGGTGGGCCAGCCCAGCCGGCAATGCCCTTTAAAGGCTCTCCTGCGCTGGCACTGCAGCCGGCGAGGCCTTAAAAGGCAAAACGCCTTCCCGTCGCCCTAACTGCCTCTGCCTTCATCGCGTGATGCCCAAAGGCCAGTGAGGACCCACCGGGACAAGCAGGGCAGGGTCTGGGGAGCTGGCAGAGCGCTGCCCCCGGCGGCTCCGAGACGTCGACGAGCAGTTCTCCAGGTGGATGTCAGTCTTCGCCCCGCGACGCCCCCACACTGGCCCAGCCCACGCTGGGTGTGAGACCAGGGCACGGACATCTGCTGGGCAGACGGAGGAAAGAAGTTCCTCCTCTTTCGTGCACGGATAGTAGTGAGAGTTATTGCAAGGTGCCAACCCGCCCCGTGAGAGGAACCTCCCGCTACCCAGGAGCCAGCTTTGGGCTTCTCTCCCCTCTGCCTGTGGGGTGTGCGCTAAGGGCCCGAGGGGGACTATGACCCAGAGCCCTGAGCCTCCCTGCTGCCCTCCTGCCTGTGGACCTGTGTCTCCACCCCGGCTCTCACGTCAGCCCCACCTCCTAGAGCAGGGCAGTGCGGTGACAGGGCAGAGGTCTCACAGTGGGCTGGGGATGTGGCCAGCAGCTCCTTCGGGCTGTGCTTGGGTGGGGGGTGCTTCCCTGACAGCCTGGGCCTTTCTCTGGAGACACAGTGACCCCAGCACAGCTCCCAGAAGGTGTTCCACTGGGGACCTTTGTCACCTCCCATCCCAGTGCAATGGTCGCTGAGACCCAGGCTGGGGAAGTCGGAGCTGCTTTCTCAGGCCAGTGCGCAGGCGAGGGCTGGGCTCCGCGGACTGTGGCGCGAAGTCTCTCCGGAGCCCCAGCCTTGTCTCCTGCGGTGGCGCTGCAGATCTGTCCCCAGAGCTGCAGGGGCGTGGTCTTTGGCACAGCCACACCCGGCCCCTCTGTCCAGCCGGCCCCCACCCTCCTGGACAGCCGGGCCCCAGCCGGCACCCCGTGGGCGAGGCTGACCCAGGCCCAGACCTCCTGCAGCTCTGACACAAGAGCCACGGTCTGTTGTTAGGGGCTGTGTGGGGCCCCTGCAGAGGGCAGAGGGGGAGCTGCTGTTTGTAGGAAGATGCACAGCTTGGGGTGGATTAAATTTTTTTCTTTTCTTTTCTGCATGTTTTTAACGAGCATCCAGCCTGCTTCCCTCTTGCCGGCTGCACCCTGTGTTCTGCGTCCCAGGGCCACCGTTCCCGAGGCCAGGCCGCTCCCGGCTGGCCATGATGCCCCTCCGCTGCCCCGAGCCCACATGCTGTTTCTGACCTTCAGGGCCATGTTCACGGGCGGCATGAGGGAGGCGAGCCAGGATGTCATCGAGCTGAAGGGCGTGTCGGCCCGAGGCCTGCGCCACATCATCGACTTCGCCTACAGCGCTGAGGTGACCCTGGACCTCGACTGCGTGCAGGATGTGCTGGGTGCGGCCGTGTTCCTGCAGATGCTGCCCGTGGTGGAGCTGTGCGAGGAGTTCCTCAAGGCGGCCATGAGCGTGGAGACCTGCCTCCACATCGGCCAGATGGCCACCGCCTTCAGCCTGGCCTCGCTCCGGGAGTCGGTGGACGCCTTCACCTTCCGCCACTTCCTACAGATTGCCGAGGAGGAGGACTTCCTGCGCCTGCCCCTGGAGCGCCTCGTCTTCTTCCTGCAGAGCAACCGGCTGCAGAGCTGCGCGGAGATCGACCTGTTTCGTGCCGCGGTCCGCTGGCTGCAGCACGACCCGGCCCGGCGGCCACGCGCCAGCCACGTGCTCTGCCACATCCGCTTCCCGCTCATGCAGTCGTCGGAGCTGGTGGACAGCGTGCAGACGCTGGACGTCATGGTGGAGGACGCGCTGTGCCGCCGGTACCTGCTGGAGGCCTTCAGCTACCAGGTGCTGCCCTTCCGGCAGCACGAGATGCAGTCCCCGCGCACCGCGGTGCGCTCGGATGTGCCCTCGCTGGTCGCCTTTGGTGGCACGCCCTACACCGACAGCGACCGCTCCGTCAGCAGCAAGGTGTACCACCTGCCCGAGCCCGGTGCCCGCCACTTCCGCGAGCTCGCGGAGATGGAGGTGGGCTGCAGCCACACGTGCGTGGCCGTGCTGGACAACTTCGTGTACGTGGCCGGCGGCCAGCAGCTGCAGTTCCGCAGCGGCGAGGGCGCAGTGGACGCCTGCTATCGCTATGACCCGCACCTGAACCGCTGGCTGCGCCTGCAGGCTATGCAGGAGAGCCGCATCCAGTTCCAGCTGAACGTGTTGGGCGGCATGGTGTACGCCACGGGCGGCCGCAACCGGGCTGGCAGCCTGGCCTCGGTGGAGAGGTACTGCCCCCGGCGCAATGAGTGGGGCTACGCCTGCTCGCTGAAGCGCCGCACGTGGGGCCACGCCGGTGCCGCCTCGGGAGGCCGCCTCTACATCTCGGGCGGCTATGGCATCTCGGTGGAGGACAAGAAAGCGCTGCACTGCTACGACCCCGTGGCCGACCAGTGGGAGTTCAAGGCGCCCATGAGCGAGCCCCGGGTGCTGCACGCCATGGTGGGCGCCGGTGGCCGCATCTACGCCCTTGGCGGCCGCATGGACCACGTGGACCGCTGCTTCGACGTCCTGGCCGTGGAGTACTACGTGCCCGAGACGGACCAGTGGACCACCGTGAGCCCCATGCGGGCGGGCCAGTCGGAGGCCGGCTGCTGCCTGCTGGAAAGGAAAATCTACATCGTTGGGGGCTACAACTGGCGCCTCAACAACGTGACGGGCATCGTGCAGGTGTACAACACGGAGACAGACGAGTGGGAGCGAGACCTGCACTTCCCGGAGTCCTTCGCAGGCATCGCCTGTGCCCCCGTCCTGTTGCCCCGGGCTGGGACCAGGAGGTAGCCCCGGGACCCCGGGGCCTCGGCCTGGCTGCGCGCTGTCTCGGAGCAGGGCTTGGCGAGCACCGTCTGGCCGAGAGCCCCAGCGGCTCCCCAGGCTGGCCTCTAGGGGCCTGCCGTGTCGACAAGCTCCCCCCGGGGGTCCCTGCCTCCTTCCTCCCCAAAGCAGATCCCGGCTTGGAGTCCAGCCTGGGGAGCCTCCAGCCAGGAGGCCAACATGCCGTGTCGTGGCAGCAGACGCACGCCCGGCATGGTTTCCTTGCTGCCCTGCGCGTCCTGGCTGGTGGGTGGAAACTGGGGTCTCCTTTGTGGTGGCCGTTGTGTGGCTTTGCCTCTCTCCTCTCCCCGCTTCAGCCCCACGGTTTCAGACTTTCAGATGTGAGCTCATTAGCATCGAACCCAAAGTCCAAGGTATGCGACTCACCCCCCTTCCAAGTCTCTTGCGTGCTTGTGTTTTTAAAATAAACTCACCGAAAACCTCCGTAGCATACGGACCTGCAGGAGCAGTGAGAGGCCGCTCTGAAACTCCCAGCTCTGGGTGGGTGGAGGACGAGGGCGCATGCCTGCCTCCCCCACGCGTGTCCCCCAGCACCTGCGCCCTTTGTCCTGAGCTGCCGGGACAGGAGGCCCCGGCTCCCGTCTCTGTTCCCATCCGGTCCCCAGCACCTTTGAGGCGTTCACTCATCTGCTTTCAAGAGGAGAAAACACACCCGGCTCCCAGAGACGGTCCTTATGGGTGTCAGGCCTTCCACTTGGGGTCTTACCAAGGAGGATGGGCCAAGACACGCCCTGCCTGTGTTTGTCTCCGGTGGCCAGGCTGTCCCCTTTCCACGGGTCAGAATCTCACAGTGCATGTGCATCTTGCAGGTCTGTTGGGTGATTTTTATTTCCTTCCCCCCTTTCTACCCCTCTGTGTCCGCCCGGGCTCCCATCGGTCTGCCCTGTGTTTAGGTCAACATGCTACCCAGCCTGGTCCCCCCTTGGGGGAAGTCAGGCCAGCGGTGAAGCCTTACTCTTTACAGGCTTCGCGGCTTCTCCAGCCACATTCATTCTGATGCCTGAACCTCTAAACCTTTTCTTTTTGTTTTGTTTTACTTTTTTTTTTTTTTTTAAGAAGCCGGCACTGCTGTCTTATAAATGGGATTTGTACTCTCGGGGCAGCTTAAAGTGTCTTTCTCGCTGCTAACGGACGATTGATGTCGTGTCTCTGTGACCCACACACCGTGTAAAGAATTAACCTCATATCTTAGCAGACGTCGTCTCCTAATATTTCCCTTTATTTAATAAAAATGTTATGGCGAAAAGATGGAGCAGGCCCAGGGCTGAACCCGCGAGGCTTGGGCCTGATTGGTCACAGATTCCTTGTGTGTCCTCCACGTGTCTGGGGGCTGCTCTCCCCCTCTTTGGCCTTTTCCAGCCTTGCGGAGGGCCCGGTGAGGGGCTGGGCTTGGGCTCGGGGGTGCAGGGGCAGCAAGAAATGTGGCCAGGACAGTCCCCCTGGGCACCCAGCAGACAGAGGGCAAACCCGGGCCCGGCGGGGGTAGCCTGCTGGGGGCTCCTTTCCTGGTTGCCCAGCCCCCAGCCACCAGGCAGCCCCCAGCTCCCCAGAGGTACCATCTCTATCTGCTCAGTCCCAGCACCTGAGTGCAGCTCGGATAGCCTGGGAGCCCCTGTCCCTGGAGGAGACGCAGGGCAGGTCCTAAAGGAAACACGAAGTCATCTCCCTTCCCTGTGGGCCTGAGAGCTCTGTAGAGAGTCCCCAGCCCCCACTCTCGAGGCTGGCCTTGCCTCCAGCCCGGCTGCCCAGAGCCGCCACTTGCCCGTTAGCGGAGATGTCCCTGGACAGCCTTCCAAGCAGGGAGGCTCTGGGATCGTCCTCCACACTCCGGCTGTGCAAGTCGCCCGGTGCTCCTGTGTGTTGGCCACTGGCGCCCAGGGTAAGGCTGGGGGTGGTGGGGGCGGTGCTAAGACAGACACTGGGTGGGGGGCGTGGAAGGAGCCCTCGCTGCCAGGGGCATCTGAAGGAAAGCAGCAGCGGCCCTCAGGCCCTCACCATGCATTCCAGCCCCACCCCCGACCTGAGCTCCCCCAAAGAGAGCCCTTCCCTGCTGGAAGCACGGCCCGTCACGGGGGCAGTGAGAAGTCTTTGCCAGCTCTGAGTCCCCCGGATCAGCTCACACCTTGGAACATCTTGTCCCCAGCGAGCTGGCAGGGGTGCCGGCCCTGGGCGGGGGTGCTGCCGTATCTAACCAGATCGATTGTGCATAACCGTCTGGGCCAGTTTTGGAATGTCCTTGGGGCCCCCTGCCCCTCCCTCTGCCTCCTCCCATCTCCCCCCAACAAGAAAGGAAAATTATTTTTCGTATTGTAAACTTTAAACACGAAAAAGCTGTTTTTAATTTAGCAGAAACTGGCTTGAATCTTCACTTTGTGAATGTTTGTGTCCTTCAGAGAAAGGCAGAACACGCCTGTGCACACTCGCACACGCTCAAGCAGACACCTGCACGCCTGTGCTGCAGCGCATTCACACGGCCGTGCTCACACTGCGTGCCTGCACACGCGTGCTCACTCGGGCATGCGCATTGTAACGTGCTCGCTTGCACACGGGTAAATGCGAGTTCACCCAGATGCACACATGCACGCACACAACCCCGGACCAGCCTGGCCCACCCTGCCTAGCGCCCTGGAGGGGTCTAAAGCCCTGCAGCTCCCCGAGCTGGGAAACAGTCCGCTTCCTTGCAGAGGCCTGGACGCAGCCGCAGCCGCCTCCCTCGCACCTGGGCTTGGGCTGTGGGAAAACGCCGTCTCTCAGGACAGTCGGATGCAGCCGTGAGAGGGAGGCCAAGTGTGACTTCTGGGGCCTCGCAACAAGCAGGGCCAAGGGGGCCTCCGGGGAGCCATGTGAGGTGGGAATCCGCCCCGGACCTGGCCAGCTTGGAAACCGGCCCCTGGCTCCGTCTCTGAGAAAGCAGCTCTAGCTCCTTCGTTCTCACGGGCCCTGGAGGTTCGCTTTGCATGGTGGGGCCTTGGCGCATGGCTCTCCTAGGGGCACCCGGCCGTGGGTCCCAGCAGCCCAGTGCCTAGCACGGTGCATGGCACGGAGCAGGCACAGCCCAAATGTTTGTTGCACAAAAGAGGTTCCGGAGTGGGGAGGTGAGAGCAGAGCCTGCTTTGTACAGTGTCCATGGGTGCTATCTGCGTGTGGACTCTGGGGGCAGGAGGGCCCCCACTTAATTCTTTCCTCCTGTCATTCTTGTGGCCAGCCTGGCAGCCGTTCCTCCCTCACCAACAGAACCCTGATTGGGTGCCAGCAACAATGTGCCCAGCCTCGGGGGTTAAGATTCAGCCGAGCCATTCTTGGCAACGCCTTTTGCTGGGGTTGTTTTCAATCTGGGCACAATTCCCAGCTCTGGCCAGCAAGCTTTAAGGGGTCGGGTGTTTCGGGACAAGAGAGGCCTTATTGCCCCCTTCCCACCTTTACTGCTTTTTATGAGGACACGATGCCAGGAGCTTCTGCAGCCATCTTGTGGCCATGAGGAGCAAGTTAAGAGAGGCACAGTAATGCCTTGTCCCAGATCCCTGAAACCATGGGGCCACCAGTTGCATCCTAGCACCTCTGACCTCCAAACTCATTGTTACGATAAATAACATCTGCACTTCTTAAGACACTGGTGGTCAGTTATTCTGATGCTTATAACCAAACAGTTCCAAAACTATAATATAAATGTGACAAATGCTGGAGTCTCCCCATCTTATGTAAGTCAGGGGTTTTTATTTGCAAGCAACAGAAACTGACCCTGGCCGATTTAAATAGCCAAAGCATGTATTGGAAAATTGGTGTCTCGCAGGAGCGGCAGGAAGGCCAGAAAGCCAGGCTGAAGAAACAATAGCAATCGAAGGGGTGAGACAGCCAGGCCCTCAGCTGAAATCATGCCAGAGGACACTTCTGCCACCTCCGCAGAATCCAGATGCCTCCATTGGCACTGCCATCTGCCCTGGGCACTCAGCCATAGCTGCCCCTGGAAACCAGATGGTCCTGCCCTGACGCTGTTTCTTTGTACCACTTGTGCCTGAGTGGAAACATCCTTTTGGCCCATCCCACATCCCACGCCAATACCCCAGCTGCCCAGGGAGCAGGGAAAGTTAGAACGTCAGTGTATTATCCACTGCTGCGTAACAAACACTCCCACGTCTCAATGGCATACAATAATAAATGTCTGTTTTTCACATGTCCATGAGTCTGCTGGGGGGTTCCTATTCCAGGCTGGCCTCTGCTGGGCAGCTGTGCTCCCGGGTGGAAGGCTGTGGAGTAGGAGAAGGTTCTGCTGCACCCTCCTGGGCCCGGCAGTCAGGCCACATCCTCCTGCAATGGTGCATGCAGACAAGAGGAGTCTCATGAGGGCTCCCAAGGTCTTGGTTCAGGACTCACACGCTGTTGCTCCTGCCCAGGAGTCTTTGGCCAAGCAAACCATGTGGCTGAGCCCACGGTCAGAAGTGGGGAAACAGCCCCCACCTGAGGAAAGAACGGCAGGGGCGTGGACACAGGAACAGGTGGGGAACAGGGGCTGACAGTTCCATTGGTCACCCTTGGCTTGGGGGCTTCTCTTGTTAGTGGAGGACTGACTTCCCCCATGGGGACTCTCAAACTTGGATGGGGACCTAGAGCCTGGGCAACCAAAAAGAAAAGCTCTACTTCTCCTTTGGCCCCTGGAGGTTGGGGATATCTTTTTTTTTTTTTTTTGAGACAGGGTCTCACTGCATTGCCCCGGCTAGAGTGCAGTGGCACAATCATGGTTCACTGCAGCCTTGAACTCCTCAGATTAAATGATCCTCCCAAGGAGCTGGGACTATAGGTGCATGCCGCCACGCCCAGCTAATTTTTTTTTCATTTTTTTGTTTTAGAGACTGGGTCTTACTATGTTGCCAGGCTGGTCTCAAAATCTTGGGCTCAAGTGATCCTCCTGCCTCAGCCTCAGCCTGTCGAGTAGCTGGGACTACAGGTGTGCGCCACCATGCCTGGCTAATTATCTTTTTTTTTTTTTTTTGAGACAGAGTCTTGCTCTGTTGCCTGGGATAGAGTGCCATGGCATCAGTCAGCCTAGCTCACAGCAACCTCAAACTCCTGGGCTCAAGCAATCCTCCTGCCTCAGCCTCCCAAGTAGCTGGGACTACAGGCGTACGCCACCACACCCAGCTAATTTTTTTCTATTTTTAGTAGAGATGGGGTCTCACTCTTGCTCAGGCTGCTCTCGAACTCCTGACCTCAAGTGATCCTCCCACCTCGGCCTCCCAGAGCGCCAGGGTTACAGGCGTGAGCCACTGCACCCAGCCTGGCTAATTATCTTATTGTTTTTTTTGCAGAGATGGGTCTTGCTATGTTGCCCAGGCTGGCCTCAAACTCATGACCTCAAGTGATCCTCCTGCCTCAGCCTCCCAAAGTGCTGGGATTATAGGCTTGAGCCACTGCGCCTGGCCTTCTTTTTTGTCAGGGCTGTGAGTGTCCTGGGCTCTCAGACAGCAGGGAGGGGATCAGCAAGGGCTCAGCCAAGGTTCAGGGACATTGTGGGTGTCCTTGGGACCCTACCCCAGACGTCTTTCAGCGAAGGTGATTCACAGAAGGAGGCAGATTATTGGCTGTCTCCCAGAGCAGCCCCTGAGTCCCCTGCCTGCCTGGCTGGCCCCAGCCTCTCGATGTCCTCTCTGGCAGTCAGCCTTGTCCCACCCCCCACAGACACTCAGGCCCAGGTGGGAGGATGAGGGCTCTGGGTCCACATGTAACCTCATCACCTCATTGTAAAGAGTGGGCTCATGTCTGCCATTTCTGGCTTCCATGGGGTCCTTTCCTCTCTCTCCATGATTGGACCTGGCTCTTCCTTTGCTTTTAAAACTCTCTCTGGCTGGGGGCAGTGGCTCACGCCTGTAATTCCAGCACTTTGAGAGGCCAAGGCTGGACGATCGCTCGAGACCAGCCTGGGCAACATAGTGAGACCCCCATCTCTACAAAAATGTTAAAAATTAGCGAGGCACAGTGGTTCGTGCCTATAGTCCCAGCTACTTGGGAGGCTGAGGCGAGAGGATCACTTGAGCCCGGGAGTTCAAGGCTGCAGTGAGCTATGATGAAGCCACTGCACTCCAGCCTGGGCAACAAAGCGAGACCCTGTTTCTAAAAACATAAAGTAAAATAAAACCCTGTGTGATGAGGGAAGATGGTTTGGAAGTCAAAGATGAGCCCTGGATGGTTTTAGTCTCTGCCTCCTGGCACCAAATGGCCCTAATTCACCTCCACAAGATGTGGGTACCTCAAATCAAGGAAGATCCCATATAAGGAAGAGCAGGAGAGCAAAGCGTAAGAACTAAGGCCCATGAGGTAGTGTTTTGCTTTCCTAACAGTTACTGAGAGCTTGTGAGGAGGCAGGCGCGAGCTAAGTGCTTTCCGCACGTTATCTGTTTAATCTCCCCAAGGGCCTGCTATGAGGAGCGTCACTATCCACATTTAGCAAAGGAGGGCATCAGGGTTCAGAGAAGTGAGGACAATTTCTCATTGTCACACAGCCGTGCTGGACCACACAGAAACTCTCAGGAGTTTAGGTGTATATATATATTTTTGTTGTTGTCATCCAGGTGGATATGAAGGAGTTTACGTTTTTATTAACTTGTTTTAGAGGCTTAAAGTACAGGAATGCTATGGCCTGGATGCAGGGGAAAGAGCATTTCAAGAAGGAGGGGGAACAGGCTGTGCAAAGGCCCTGAGGCAGGACGCAGCAAGGCTGGAGTGGTGAGTGTGAGAAAGGGAAGGGTAGGAGATGATGCTGGGGAAGATGGCAGGGAACAAACGGAGCCAGGCCAAGCTATGGAGCAGAGGAGACCAGATACTGGGGGCAGTGGGAAGCAGTTTATAAGATATGCTCTGTAACTCAAGTGAAGCTCTTCAATAATTGGATACTTCCAGCTCCTTGGGATCAGGGCTAACCAGAGAGTGAGCCAGGGCTGCATAAACCTAGAGGGAGGAACCCAGCTCTCCTTGGAGGTCAGAATGGGCTTTCTGGAGGAAGGGACATTTGAGGTGGATTTTGAGGGATGAGTAGGAGTTTCTCAGGCAGAAAATAAATTCATTTAACAAACACTTTCTACTACCCTGCCCCCTCTGTGCCTAGTCTTATGTTAGCTCTGGGGACCCAGGGGAACAGAATGAACACAGATAACTATAAAATGAGGCCGAAAGTGCTCATAACCTTCTGGGGATAGAGAGCAAGCCTTAAGAGGAAGGAATCACATGATCTGTGTCCTTTCCATGTCGCACGGGGAACTCCAGCTCACTCTTGGCACGTTTGGGAAAGGTGAACATACTTTTAGCCTCTGATCTCAGCTTAGTCCACAGGGGATCAGACAGGACCCCATAAACAGCTGTCTTAAGAGAATGGGTTGTTTCTGGGTCACGGGGCAAGACACTGGAGGGCCACTTCGGATAGACTCTCAAGGTGAAGTCTGAAAGAGGAGACGGTGCCAGCCACAAAAGAATCTGGGGGCAGAGTGATCCAGGCGGAGGCAACCGCACACGCAGCGCTCTGGAAGTGGAGCAAGGAGGCTGCCGCGGCTGGCATGGTGGGCCCCGGGGGCTGTCGGAAGGAGGGAAGATTTTTACGTGTGATGGGAGTGTGGGAGCTGCCCTGGTTTACAAAGACCATGGGCAGCTGCAAGGAGCATCACTGGACTGCACAGCGGGCAGCAACTCCCTTTGATGAGGGAAGAAAGCAAAAACCGCAGGGCTGGATTCCGCCTGGGTCACAGGACGCTGTGGCCTCGCCCCCCCTTGGGCCTGGGGTCAGTGGAGCAAGGAGAAGGACTCGGTTGCTGTCCGGCCGTTGTGCAATGAGCAGGCTGGCTGCTTCCTCTGACTCATCACCAGGGTTTAGGATGGATCAAGTTACGCCAGGGCATGGGGTGAATGGAGGCCGGTAGGGACAGTATTAGACTCTCACTTCTGCACGTGCAGGTATGGCCTCTTGCTGTGACCCGACGACCCGTCACCTCTCAAATCTTTTCCCCTCCATCTTTCTGTCCAGAACTGGCTTAGTACAGATACATGTAAGCGACCAGGCTAACCAGCACTTACCAAGCACTTCTTTTTTTTTTTTTTTTTGGAGGCAGAGTTCACTCTGTTGCCCTGGCTAGAGTGCCGTGGTGTCAGTCTAGCTCACAGCAACCTCAAACTCCTGGGCTCAAGCGATCCTTCTGCCTTGGCCTCCTGAGTAGCTGGGACTACAGGCATGCGTCACCATGCCCGGCTAATTTTTCTATTTTTAGTAGAGACGGGGTCTCACTCTTGTTCAGGCTGGTCTCGAACTCCTGGCCTCAAGCGATCCTCCTGCCTTGGCCTCCAAGAGTGCTGGGATTACAGGTGTGAGCCACTGCGCCTGGTCTATCGAGCACTTCTTATGAGCTGGGCAGTTGACACATTTCATTTAAACCCTGCGAAACCCAGTGTATGGAAGGAAGCTGAGCTCTGCCGTGAAGCTTGAGTTCTAACCCTGGCTGTGGTGCTTAACTTGCCTTGGGCAGCTGCTGTCCCTGCACTCTGTCTCTATTTCCTCTCTGACCTCACTGCATGGTGGCAAGAACTAGAAGCCACATATGGAGCAGGCCCACTGTCACACCTGACTCACAGAAACTGCAGCCTCAGTTGGTGACAGGAACAGAAAATGGACTTCAGAATGACTTCGGCAAAAAAGGGAATAAGTTTTTGGATCCTATAACTGAAAAGGCAAGGGTGTCTACCTTCAGGCAAGGCTGGATCCAGGAGCTCAGGGCATGTCTCTCTACCCTTTGGCTCTGTTTTCCTCTGTGTGGGTTCACCCTCTCAGCCTAGCTCTCTGCATGGTGGCCTCTGTCAGTGCAGACTTGTGGTATCCTTCAAACCAGATGCCCAAGCAAACCGTGGGGCGTCTCTTTCCCATGGTTCAAATAAGAGTTCCAGATTGCATCTCATTGGGCAAATTGGGTCACATGCCTGTCCTGAACCAATTGTGATGGCCAGAGCAATGGGCTGTGCTGATTGGCCAAGGCTTCTACCTTAGGGAGAGGTGCTTGTGGTGAGAGGGGGTGGTGAGAACAGCCCTACCCACTTCTCAACGACTGAAAGTCAGAACCAGTGTTTCCTAAAGTTGGTTGATGGCACCAAAAAGGTGAGGGGGGAGTAGGCAAAAAGTGTAGAAGTCCATGAAAGTGCTCGAAATCATTTGAGCAAGATAGATAAAACAGAGCAGTGGCAGTGCCCGATACTGCAGATGAAAATCTATGTGTTACATATATTTAATACGGACATTTTATTAAACTGTTGTTAAGTGTGCATAGAAGCATGCATGGAAAATGTTGGTGTCCTCCCTGTATACTCTCTGTCGCATCCTCTCCAGCCATCCCTCACTGTCATAAAACGTGTGGTGAGCAATTGGAGTCTCCCTGAATTCCTCCAGCTGACCTTCTAGCTCCCACCCCCCTCACACTCTCAAATCCCTGCAGCCTCCTGAATGTAAACTTTCACTATTGATGGTGAAGGTCCCTCTCCTTGGACAGGGACAGCTAGATGTCAGAGCCCTTCCCGCTTCCCGGGTTACTCACCTGCCACTGGGGAGACCCCGTTCCCTCTTTCACAGTTGGGTCTAGGTGGGATTTCTGAAGGCTTCTGGCAGCGCCCTGTGGCAAAACAGGGATCCTCAAACAAGACAGGACTGGAGAAATACGGAGGGAGGACGCGGAACCTCTGTAATTGTGGTTTTTTGTGCTTAAGCATCCGAAGAACAGCACCTGGTCCAATGCGAGGGGACAGGAAAAGAAAGTTGTTAAAGACAACCTCCAGGTTTATGGACTGGGGTTCAGGCCTCAGGTCACATGCCCCCCCTTCCCTGACTGTGGTGCCTGCAGCGGCGCCCCTCCCTCGTGTAGCTCTCCCGCCAGCCCACGGTCTGTCTTTTTTCCTCATCACATTTATCTCCATCCGAAATGCTCTTGGTCATTTATTTGTAGGTTGTGTCTACCCCTTTCCGACTGTGCACCGCTTGAGAGCAGAGGCCACATCTCTCCTTGTTCATGCCTGTATCCCAGTTTGCCTGGCACATACTAGGTGCTCAGTAAATACTCAGGAATGAATGCACGCACTGATGGTCTATGCCATGGACTGGTCTCCGAGCTCTGAGTCCCAGCCTAGGTTCAGCCTCGGGGTGCTACCTGTCCTTGGGGGGTGCCCAGCCCTACCCTTGTGGATTGGGAGGGTCTGGCTCAGGCTGTTTCCCCCTCAGGGGCTCCAACAGCCCAGCCCGTTCGCGAACCTTGCCCAACAGCGAGACGGCCACTGTCCAGCGGGCCAGGCGGCAGACCACTGCGCCTGCGCAGAAATTTCCACTCGCTCCCCCTTTCCCTCCCCAGGTGCCCCGAACGCGCTGCTTGGGCGCGCGCATGCGCCGCCGCAAGCGCGCCGCGCGCCGCGCGCCGCTCTCGTGCGCCTGCGCCGTGTTCACGACCGCCGGCACGCCTGCGCACTGCGCGCCGCCCGTGGGCCCGGCCGGCGCTTGCGCGGTGGCCCGGGCGAGTGGGGGGGCGAAGAGGAGGTGGAGGAGGAGGAGGAGGTGGAGGAGGAGGTGGAGGCGGCGGCGGCGAGAAGATGGCGACTTCGAACAATCCGCGGAAATTCAGCGAGAAGATCGCACTGCACAATCAGAAGCAGGCGGAGGAGACGGCGGCCTTCGAGGAGGTCATGAAGGACCTGAGCCTGACGCGGGCCGCGCGGGTAAGGGGGCTGCCCGCGCCGACCCCTCGGGGCCGGGCGAGGGAGGGACAGAGGGGGCGCGTGTCCGGCGCGTGCACGGGGCGGGGGGGTGCGCGGCGGGGGCGGGGCGCGCGCGGCGGGGGCGGGGCTTGGCACGGCCCTAGGGGGACAGGTGTCCCCACGCCCTGGCGTCGTCGGCGGGACAGGTGCCCCGACATCATTGCTACCTGGAGGAGATGGGGACCTCTACATCATTACTACCGGAAGGGAACAGGTGCCACTACATCGTTGTTACTTGAGGGGGGACAGGTTGCCCACATCATTGCTACCTGGAGTTCAGGATGACACTGAGATGGATGAGCTGGGTGCCGCTTGCAAGCATCATTGTTACCTGGGCGTGGGGGTACAGGTGCTCCTACATCATTGGTACCTGGGGCAGGACAAGTGCTCCCACATCATACTACCTGAGAGGGACAGGTACCCTCACATCCTCACATCATTGCTACCTGAGTGGGACAGGTGTCTCTACATCATTGTTACTCCCTGGGTGCCCTTACTCCCTGGGTGTTGGGGAAGGAACAGATGTCCCCACTTGCAGACCCGAGATGGGACGGGTATCTCTTCCTCTTGGACACCTGGCAGAAAGGTTCAGATCCCCTCCCCCGTGGGGTCCAAGAAAGCAGACTGTGCTCAGTCCTGGAACTTGGAGTGGAGACAGCTGCCCCTTCCCCGTGCAGCCCATATGGTGGGAACCAGGTGATGTTCCTCTCACTGGGACAGGGGACAGCTGGCCACAGATGGCCCCTGCCCTCTCAGGACCATAGTGAAGGGACAGGTCTGCCTCAGGTGGCTGGGCACATGTGGTGTACAGGGGCAGGCCAGGATTTGCCAGGCTCCTGGCTGGCAGAGCAGGTACCCTGCTAATCTCACCTGGGAAGTCGCTATGGGCCCTGAGCAGGGGCTTGGTTGGGGGTGGGGTTCGAGCATGGCACACACCCTAGCTCCTTTGAGGGGCCTCAGTTTACTCCCTTCCTCAAGCGTGTCCAGTAAGACCTTCTTCGCAGGTCAAGAAAGTGAATGTGCTTTGCACAGGTGGCAGCGAGTCTCCATTGTATTCTTCAGAGCGGTGGCGCCCCTGTCCTGCACCCTGGGGCCTTGGGGAGGGTTTGGGTGGGCGTTGCAGACGCCTGCATCCCTGCATTCAGGCACCGATCTGACTGGCCCAGGTGGACTTGCCTCAGTCTCTCATTCCTCAGGTGGAACTTGAAGGTCATGTTATTTTATAATTAGTTGCTTGTTCCTCTGTGAGATTGTGACTTTATAGACCGGGATCTGTGTCTTCACTCCTGTGTTCGTATTGATTGGGTGCTCCCTGTCAGCGAGGCACTGCCACAGGTGAGTGTGACACATCTGTCCGACAGCTACGTCCTCGCTCAGGATGTAGGGACAGAGATGGCTGGTGAATGAATGAATGAATGAATGAATGAAAGAAAGCGTACGACCCAAGTGTCCCCATAGGTCCGGGCTCCCGCGGCAGGAGTGTCCACTGCCGCCTGTCTCCTGCACAGTGTGTGCTAGCGTGCCGTTGGGGTCAAATATTTGTACGGCGACAGGAAGGAAGTGGTTACAGTAGGTTCACAGCTGTCAGTGCTGTTGGAAGTCCGGTTTCTGCATGGAGTTGGAAATGGATTATTGTTGTTGAAAAGATTTCTTTAAAATAACAGCTTTATTGAGATACGATTCGCATATCATACACTTTACTTGTTTAAAGTGTACGGTGCCGTGGTTTTAGTGTATTTGCAGAGTTGTGCAACCATCACCAATGTGTAGTTCAAGAACATTTTTCATCCCTCCAAAAGGAAACCCTGTCCCCATTAGCAGTTACTCCTCATTCCCCCTCCCCCTGCCCTGGCAGCCACTAATCTATCAGAGTTGCCTGTTCTGGGCATTTCATATGAATGGAGTCATACAACGTGTGGCCTTCTGTGTCTGGCATCTCTCACGCAGCATGATGTTTTCTGGGTTCACCCACGTTGTAGCATGGCATCAGCGTGTTGTTCCTTTTCATGGCTGAGTAATGCTCCATTGCAGAGATATGTTGTATTTGTTTATCCATTCATTGATGGATGCATTTAGGAATTTCTAAGATCCACGGGCAGCGGTTCTCTTGGGTCTGGTAAACATTTCCCATCTTCCTTTCTCCTGCGTCCCTCTCTCTGCGTACACCTGGGGCGGGGGGCGGAGGGACCCTGGGCAGAGGTAAGCATGCTCTTGATTTTTAAGAGACAGAGCACTGTACCGTTCTGTCCCCGCCAGGGGACACTTGGCAATGTCTGGAGGCATTTTTGGTCGTCATGACCAGTGGGTGCTCCTGGCATCTGGTGCCAGGGGTGCTGCCCAGTCCTGTAATGCACAGGATGCCCCCACCATGGAGAGCAATCCGGCCCCGGAGGTCGGTAGTGCCAATGCTGAGAAACCTTTGGTTAGAGGGTAGCACTGAGGGGCCAGGGTGCGAGCTTTGCACCTGGGCAGGTCGAGTTCAACCCTTTGCACCCACCCATGTGGCTGTGCCGCCTTGGGCAGGCTGTAAGCAGGATGGACAAACTCATTCCCAGCCTGACCGGGCCACTGCACATGGCCAGTGGCCGTCTGCAGGTCCCGGTGCGGGCTCCGCTCCTGCCCTCCCCTAGCGGCCATGGCCGTGGCCGTGGCACACCTGCTCCCCTCTCGTGAATTCCGAAGGACGGCACACCTACTCCTGTGTGTCTGCTCACGGTCGTCGGTGCTGATGGGCACACCTGAGGTGCCTTGTCTCAGTGGAAGGCGAGTCGGCAGGCATTCGTCCAGGAGAGTAAATACTCACCAGGGGACAGGGACCCGAGGGCTGTGTTGGGTGGGGGTATGGGGTGTAATGTCGGGAGGCAGTTAGCAGGTCTCAGGGCAGGGGGTGAGTACGTGAGTGTTCCTTTCCATCCTCAGACTTGGGGTGGCGTGATATGCGGGGAGAACGTTGGTGCTCTGCTGTGTGACTTTGGCAGGTTTCTTAACCTCTCTGAGTCTCAGAATCTGGACCCGTAAAGTTGGGGCAGCTCATTCATTCCACCAAATGACAATTTTCATTGCCTAGAATGTTCCAGGGACTGTGTTAGGTGCTGGGGACCTCGGTGGTGTACGAGGCATATTGGGGCTCTGCTCTCGGGGAGCTGGTGTGGTTTTGGGGGGGACAGGAGAAAATCTCTGCAAATGAATGAAACAGGATGATACGTGCTGGGAGAGAAGCAGCACAGCAATGCGCTAGGAGGGGCAAGGGTGGGGGCCAGCGTGTAGGCGGTGACACGGAGCATCCCTACACCTCAAGAACCGGGGAGAGCGTTCCAAGTCGGGGACAGGCAAGTGCAGAGGCCGCGAGGTGGGAAGGACGTGGCAAGGTTGGGAGTGGGCGGAACGCTGTGAGGTTGTGTCCTGGGAGGGAGGGGGGTGGTAAGGCTGGAGGGGCTCGGACGCCTCCACCCCGGGAGGGTCCCAGGGAGGATCGCAGTGGTGAGGGGCCTGTTCTGCTGCTGATTTTCGAAACCGCTTTGTTCAGATACAACTCCTGCAACATCATTCAACCCACCATTCAGTGGTTTTTGGTGTATCCCCAGTCGTACAGCCACCACCAGTCGCCTGTAGAACACGTCCATCATCCCAAAAGGGGACCCTGTCCCCCTTGGCCGCCAGCCCCCCTCCCCTACCGACAGCTCCCGACTGCCGCTAATCTGCTTTGTGTCTCTGTGGATTTGCCTGTTGGGGACATTTCATGTAAATAGAATTATACGGCATGTGGCCTTTTGTGACTGGCTTCTTTCCGTGGGCATCCTGTCTTTGAGGCTCTTCCATGTTGTAGCATGTGTCAGTGCTTCGTTCCTGTTTGAAAAAAGTCTGTGGCGAAGCATACAGAATATAAAATTTACCATCGTAACCCTCTCCGAGCGTACAGGTTAACTCAGGGTGTTAAGCACGCGCACAGTGTCGGGCCGTCGTTGTCGCCCTATCTGCCGCTTCGTCCTTTGTACGGCCGAGTAATACTCCGTTGTGCGGACCTGCCGCGTTTTCGTGTGTCCCTCTGTCCGCCAGCACTTGAGCTGTTTCCACCTTTCGGCTGTTGCGAATCGTGCTGCTGTGGGCATTTGTGTCCTCGTGTTTCGCGGACGTGTGTCTCCGTCTCCGCGGGAGTGGAGTTGCCGGGTCACATGGCAACTCTCCATTTATCCGTTGAAGGGCACGTCACGTACTAGGAAGATGGCTGTGGCTGTCCGTGGACCGGGTGAGGGGTGAGTGGCCACTGTGGACGTCCGGGTCACAGGGAGTGATGTCTGAGCAGGGGGGTGGCCAGGAGCAGGTGGATTTTGGTGGCATTTCAGCAGCAGAGCTGCCCAGATGTGCTGGTAGATCGGATGTTGGGCGCTGGGGGGAAGGGAGGGGTCATGTCACCCGCTGGCCAAAGGCTCAGGACATAGGGGGCTCCTCATGTGACTGATCATTAAGCACCTCCAGCCTGCAGCACCTGAGCTAGAAAAAGTCCCAGGGAAAGCATTCGCGGTGGCACGGCCAGGGCTATAGGAAGGAGGGCGCCCTCCTGGTCCTACCCTGTGAGGGTGGTGGCTTCGCACAGCATGGGTGGGAGTAAAACAGGTCCCCAGGCCTCAGGCACGGCGCCAGGGTAGCTCAGGTTAGCTGAGCTTGGAGCCCGCCCCCAATCCTGGCTTTGGCACTGTTTGCCTCTGTGCCGGCTGCTTCGACTGTCTGGTGCCATCTGCAGCCTTAGCATACACGCAGAAGTCCCTGAGCTGCTCTGTCGAGAGGACGAGGGCACTGCCCTCCCCGTTGCGCCGCCCGCCCCCTCCGAAAACCCCACCCATCCCAACACCGTCCACGTTGTGAGCTGCACACCCGTAGCGGGCTGCATGGTGGCCCTTAAAAAACATTTGTCCACCTCATAACCCCTGGAACCTGTGCGTGGGACCTTAATTGGAAAAAAG